CCCCCCCCCCCCCCGCTTAACATAGGGAATTAGGATCTCAGAGTAGAACATTTGGCCTGTGTTTTGAGGAAAGGAAATGTTCTGTAAAAGTGTCAGTCTGAAGGAGTGTCTGGGATGTTCTCTTGGAATTTAGGAAGATAATTCAAGGATCGGGCAACTGGGCGGCTTTGTTCAGGATGGTCTCTGGGGTCTTCTAAAAGTCCTTTGGTTAGGGGGGCAGCAGGGCACGGGGCCTCACCTCGGTGGACGGCCGGTGGAGGCTGCTCCCGTGCAGCGAGCTGGTGCTGTCCATGTTGATTTGGTCGACATCCTTCAGGCCCTTCCAATCCACCGCAATCACCTCATTCCCTGCAGCGGCCACAGGGTTACTTGCTTGACCTTCAGCCTCCCTAGGTCCCAGCCCACAGGCCCCTCTTGGGTCTCACAATGCCGAGGCCACACAGGGGCAGCCCCTCCAGACCCCTCCCTTCCCTCCAGCCACTGCTCCTTCTGATAGCGCGGGCCCTTTTACATCCCTCCTCTCCCCCAAATTTTTGGTAGGGACAAACTGTAAGGTTGAGCCAAAATATTCCCTCCCAGGAAAGTATTATATGGCCTTATTTGTTGTTGTCGAAACGGAGGGGGTCCGTGGTTGGGTTTTAGCAGGAGAACAGCTCTTTATTCTGTCCTGAGGAATCCTGGAGTGTTTCCAGATGGGAGAGCATGAGAGCTATGACGTTCCTACAATCACGGGGAGAACTTCTTTAGGGGTGAGCTTCCCTCCAAGTGGGCTTTACGGCTTGTATCTTGCAGTTGGCGAATTTGTCTGACAGGGAGGGGATGTGGTGGGGATAGAGGCAGGAACTGCGTGTGTTCACCCGGAAACGGTGGCGGGAGAGGAGGCCAAGAGTGAGGTGTGATCGTTTTCCCTCGCGGTTGGGAGGCAAGTGATGGATGGGAGAGGAGCAGAGGGGGTCAGAGGAGGAGACAAGGGAACTTTTTAAAACTGGAACTGAAAGGATAGGCATTCAACTTAAAGAGAAGGCAAAGACAATGGGAGGGGTGGACAGGGTCTGAGGGCTGACTGGGAAACTGATGGTAATTGTTCAGGTGAGAGCATGTGGCCAAGGCAGACGCTGGCAAGAGGGCAGGGTGGTGCCTCTCCGGGGAGGCAGGCGGGGGGGG